ATACCATCACAGCCTCAGCCTCCTCAGTACCCTCAGATCCCATCAAAGCCTCAGCCACCCCAGTATCCCCAGCCTCCTCCGAGTCCTCAAACACCTTCAAAACCTCAATACCCTGAAATCCCTCAGAACCCTCAGATACCATCACAGCCTCAGCCTCCTCAGTACCCTCAGATCCCATCAAAGCCTCAGCCTCAGTACCCTGAAGTTCCTCAGAACCCACAGATACCGTCAAAGCCTCAGTTCCCTCAACCTCCTCAGTACCCACAAACTTCAAAGTATCCAATCATTCCTCCCCAGACACCACAGATGCCTGGAATGCATCCTTCTTCAATAAATTGTGATATAGAAACAAATGTCAGAGTTCCATGTGGGCTTCCTGATATCTCTGCTGCAGAATGTCAGGCTAGAGACTGTTGCTTTGATGGCCAATCATGCTACTTTGGAAAAGGAGGTAAGCAAAGTTGCTGTTGGTTTCTCTGAAAACACTTAATTGAGGGGATATATTAACCAGTTTAAGATCTTATTGAATGAATTGCAAAATTAATTGTTACAAAACCATGTTCATCTTTTTCTGATATTACAACTGGACAAAAGTATGTTTTAACTTATCAAAGCCTATTTCTGTTCCACCAGTGACAGTGCAGTGTACCAAGGATGGCCAATTTATTGTTGTTGTGGCCAGAGACGTCACTCTACCCCACATCGACCTGGAATCCATCTCACTATTGGGAGAAGGTCAAAACTGTAAAAGTGTTGACTCAAACTCTGCTTTTGCTATCTACTTCTTTCCTGTTTCCGCCTGCGGCACTATTGTCATGGTAATTTCTCAATTTACTTCAGTTTCTCAATCAACAATGTGATTTACAACAACCACTAAATCACTTAACTCTTTGTAGGAGGAACCTGACTCTATAATCTATCAAAATATGATGACGTCTTCATATGAAGTGGGCAATGGACCTGCTGGTAGCATTACCAGGGACAGCAGCTATGTGTAGGTAAACACTGAGAGATAATGTTTTGAAATAGAAGCACATATGATGCAATAAAACATACATTCTCTTTTGTTTTAGGTTGGTCTTCCAGTGCAAGTACGTTACCTCAGATACCTCAGTTCTAAGTGTGGTTGCTGAAGTGGAGCCAATAATTGTTCCTTCTCAAGTTTCTGCTCTCGGACCCGTCAATGTCATAATGAGGCTGGCTAATGGTCTGTGCATGACCAAAGGTTGTAATGAAGGTTAGTACGTCCCAACCAGGCAAATACGCTCTGTTTGTTGATCGTTTCATAATGTTTGATGTCTTTGTTCCCACAGATGTAGCAGCCTACACCTCCTACTATCAGGACTCAGACTATCCTGTGACCAAAGTACTGAGGGATCCTGTTTATGTGGAAGTTGTGCTCCTTGATAAGACAGATCCTCATCTTGTTCTGACTCTTGGACACTGTTGGGCAACCTCAAGCCCTGAAGCTCACACCCTCCCACAGTGGGACATTCTGATTGATGGGTAACTAAACACCTGTTTACACTAACCATCATGATTTTTTAATTAAAACACAAACATGAACACACACACTACTGTCAGGTCGAGTAATTAAAAACCATTTATAATTTTATTTTATACTAATTAATGATGATGTACAACACAACAGTGACAGTCCTGTCATTGTGCATAAATACTGTATGACTGTTTCATTTTGCAGTTTGTATTTAGTTTTTCATAAAATTATGTTTTGAMGCTAAATGTTGCTAATATATTTTGCACAAAAAAAGAAAATTTGTGTTTGGTAGATTATTGATTTGTTGTATTGTTGTGACAGTGGTGCTTCGCAATAAATCCTTATAGTGGGCACCTGATTGGCCGCACCTTGGGGTACGTGTGAATAGCAACARCATAATAAGGTGTTTGGCAATGACAGAGAAAATTTGACAAAGTTTCCATGTGCACAACTCACACACTCAAGCTCTACATCTCATTCCACAAATAGGCTACATGKTCCTTACAAATGTGGCACCATTTGTAAGAAAATTTAACAGGTTTTCCAACAGTACACAATTTATTGTCAAGATACATTTTTACAACAAATATCTGCCAAATCTGCCAAACATAAATTATCTTACTTTTTGTGTTTAGTTTAACACTGTGGCGTGTCATTCGTCACCTATAACTTCCCTATCTCTAATGGATCTTTTCAGATGTCCATATGCAGATGATCGTTACCTCTCCACACTGATCCCAGTGGATTCCTCCTCCGGTGTGCAATTTCCAACTCACTACCGGCGATTCGTTTTCAAAATGTTTACCTTTATAGATTACAACATGGAACACTTCAGGAAAACGGTAATGGAGTCAGTGGAGATAAATGAACATGTCTAACACATTATTTCAAACGTTTCATTAAAAAAAATGTTCTGTTCAGGTGTATATTCACTGCAGCACAGCAGTGTGCGTGCCACGACAGGGATTCAGCTGTGAGCCCTCATGCTACAGAAAAGGAAGTAAGTAAAAATATTTATAAATATATATATTTTTAATCTGTTCAGAATCAAAAAGTTGGAGAATGTTGATCATGTCTTTATGTTTGTTTGTAGAGAGAGACACGGAGGCAGCAGCACAGAAGAAGTTTGAACCCAAGGTCGTGGTTTCTTCTGGAGAAATTATTCTAACAGCTTCCAAGCAGTGAACTGAGACAAACTCAATAATTCAGCTGAAAATGTAGGAAAAATATTTTAAACAATATGCTGAACTACAGTATAAATGTTTGAGTCAGTATTTTAGTGTGTGCAGCATAAAGAACAAATCTAACTTGTGTAATGAGGTTTACATTAAACTTTAAGCTTTGATGTGTTGTTTATACTTTAGTAATGTGCTTGTTTCCTTTAAAGGTTTTTGAATAAATGGTTTAATGCCTGTAGAAATTATTGACCTACTTCTTTTAATGTATATTTAGCAAATATTCTAGTTAGATTTGCTGGTTTATAACTAATTTCAAATTTAATCATTATAAATATAGCATTGTGAAGATTAATAGCATTTTGTAATAGCAGAAACTAAAAAGAATTTCCAAAACTAAAAAAAAATAATAAAAATGCCAACAGGGTTCCAAAATGAAATTCATTTTTTTTATTTGAACAAGTTTAAACTTTATATTCAAAGGACTAAGAAGAAAGGAGTACACTTAGGAAACATGTTCATTACAATAAGTCTTATTTGTATAATATTTATTGCAATAAAAATATTCAAAAGCAGGAAGTGCTTTTCAGAAAACTGAGAACATAAACATATGCTAGAGGTACTAAGTCAGAGAAACACTAATTGAAATGAAAGAAACAAAATATATTTAATCAAAAACTCTGAAATATCAACCAGTATGTAACTAAGATTTTTCAGTTTTATGTGAACAGTTGAAAAAAAAAAAAAAGAGACCAGGTACTTCCTGAAACATTTGTGTTTCAGTTAAAGGTGAAAACCTTCCAGGAAATGCCTCGCTGCTGATTGTCATGCAACAAATTTTCACCTCTTTTATTCTGTTGGTTCTCTTTGGAGTGGTTTGACGTGGAAACTGAGAAGTCAAGTTTCTATTTTAATATAACTCTTGGACACATAATTGAGTGATTGAAAGCAGATTTCTAATCTGTAACAAAACAACCAACACCAAAACTTGGGATACTGAGGTTTCAGGTCCTTTGTTGCTCTTTTCTCTGCTCACAAACGACAGAACAGAGTCGGAGCCGTACGTCTCAGCTATGTGTTCGCTCTCCTCCTCCGTCAGTCAGACTTGTCCTTCTTTTTGCTGCCACCTACCGGAACTCTGCTGACCACCGCAGAGCCGACAGCGGTCACTCCCCCAGCTACGGCGCACACTCCCCCTTTCACCAGCCCCACTCCGGCTGCAGGCACAGCAGCTACAGAGCACACCGCTGTCTTGGTAAGGTCCAGACTCTTCCCTCCAATCCAGGTCACGCCCCCCACCGTGGCTTTTGTGGCACAGTACAACCCCCCCGCCAACCTGCTGAACATGCCCGGTTGTGTCTGTGGGTGGTCCTTGTCGGAGTCTGATTTAAAAACACAACAAAAGCGACGATTTTAGGTACAACATATATAACGTAAGATAACATTTCTACTTTTATATTTTAACAATTATGTGCTTGTGCTGCAGAGGAAAGAGAAAGAAAACAAGCTATTAAGAGCTTGATATTTAAAAATAAATATGGTTCCACACAGATTAAAAAAAGTCCACAATACACACATCTATAACCGAGCAAAGCACATGGAACAGACAGTCTAGACAGCTCATCAGGATGATCTTTACTTATTCTCTATTTATTTATTTATTGACTGTAGCCTATAATATTCTCAAAGCCCCAATTTAGAAAAAAAAAGCCAGAATGTGTAAAATGTAATTAAAAGTTGAATGCTCTGATTTGCAAATCATACGCTTCAACTAGAGCTCTTCAATTAAATTGCCCCGGGGGTCACAGTTAATGCAGTTGAACAGCACAGGGGCTGAACATCCAGCAATTAGTCATGTAAATAAACCAAGTATTACAATCTGTTACCTTTGAAACAGTTTATTTTGTTGAATTTAATCATGAATACAACATACAGAACGCTATGTAATAATAAAACAATATCAAAAACAAAAACAACACATTATGCCTCCTATTTAAAAGGGATCCATGATTAGTTGTAACATTAGACTTTATTTGATAAACATATATTTTAACTGTAAAATAAAGACTGTAAAAATACTGTAGGCTGTTTAGTTTTTATAATTTTAAAACTAAAAGTTAAAAAATATATTACACGGATGGAGATATTTTTACACGCAAAGCATTCTGGGTAAAAGATGACGTGGATAGGTCCTCGGTTCGAGGCTGCTAGCGAGCTATATCCACCCTGAAGRTTAATCTTGGACAATATCTGATGATYGACTCTTTTAAATGAAACCAGAGAGCGTTGACAGAGAGAAGGTAGAAATGACTCAGCCTGTAACTGAAAATATGGATGGAGGACAACAGAGCTGCTTCATGGAAGAAGAACCCCAGCTTAGCCTGTTAGCTTTAGCAGTAGCCTCGACGCTATCGTCATATATATGTATTAGCTCAGCGCTACACATTCTCCTCTCGTCACTGAGGTCCTCCATCCACATGACAGAGAGGGGAACACAAAAATGACTCACACTGCAACTGAAAATATGGATGGAGGACCTCAGTTTAGCTTGTGGGTTTGTCACGCTAGCGCTGTGCTAATACATATAAGGCAATATAGCATCAGTGCTAGCGTGAAGGCTAACAGGCTAAGCTGAGGTTCTTCTTCCATGAAGCAGCTCTGTTGTCCTCCATCCATATTTTCAGTTACAGGCTGAGTCATTTCTACCTTCTCCTCTCTGTCAACACTCTCTGGTTTCATTTAAAAGAGTCGATCATCAGATATTGTCCAAGATTAACCTTCAGGGTGGATACAGCTCGCTCACACCGAGGACCTATCCACATCATCATTTACCCAGAATGCTTTGTGCGTAAATAAAATGGCTCCGTCTGTGTTAAAATATATTTTTTAAATTTACAAAACTAAACAGCCTACAGTATTTTTATAGTCTTCATTTTACAGTTAAAAGAAATGTTTATCAAATAAATTCTCATGTTACAACTAATCGTGGATCCCTTTAACACAAATATTGTTTTGACATCTCCRACTTGCCAAATTTTTAAACCAATTTTATTTTCACTTTCATAGTTTTATCTTCAAATGCTTGCAGTTGTAACTGTCTTGATTGTTTATAGAAGTGTTTTTTTCCAGCTTCTAGTCAAGATTCTGATGTTTCTGTAGACACCACATGTCTATCGAACTAAAAGAACTTATAGTAATTAAAGTAGAAAACCGGGGGTTTGGGCTTGAGAGATGAGTGAACCAATTGGCGGTCCGGATGTGGCCAGCRGGCCGCCAGTTGAATATCCCTGGTTAAACAAAGAAATTATACCTTGTTTGTTTCATAAAGTGTGGTAATAATATATAATAATATAATATACACTAAATAAGTTTTACTTTAGTTCCATTATGAATAAAATATGAGTTTATATGAATTCATTTTGTACTGTTTCATTTACATTTAACATATTCCAGCTGTTTTTTGGAGTTGGGTACTGAAACCCAAAACTTACACCCCCACAGAAAAGCAGCATGTTTTGTTTAAAAGTGTCAAAACGTTGACACAAAAACTCGCCCTTGTCCAACTGTCCTTTCAGCTGAGCTTACCTGTTGCTGCTGGCTCATCTGTGTGGTATGCAGGCACGACCTCAGGCACCTGCTCCGCCTGGCTCATCTGAGAATATAAATGACATCATTACCACAAACYGTGGAATTACAACTACAGGATAGAGACTCAGTATGTGATACAAACAAGTTTTGTGTTGAAAGCAGGATAGTTACAGTGGTTTGGTGACTACAAGCTACACGTGACGGGTATTACACAGCATGACATTAAACACACCATCACTGCTGACTCAGGAGTTAGGAGGGTAAACAGAGGTCAGGTTACTAATCAAATACACTTAAATCATGACGTGTAAGTGTCTCTGTAAAAACACTCATTTAGTTACTTTGGAACGCTTAATGTTAGGGAGGACAAACAATAAGAAAGACTATTTACAAGTGAAAGACGTTCAGCAAAGTCAAAATTTAGCCAATCAGATTTACTTAAAAAGGTCAGCGAGTTCAATGCTAAGAGAAACACACAACTCTTATGTTACACATGTTGATGTTTATGACATGAGGATTAGAAAATTACATGTCTGTCCATAATAAAATTTGAACATTTGGAGAAAACTAAACACAGCTAACAAACGACTCGTAAAATTAGCCCTTGTGGCTAAATCTGGTATATTTACGGTTGTTTTAATGTACTCTAGTATGCATCGTCTCCTTATAAAATAAATTCAAACTCAAATTCAATTGTCGAGCACAGAGGTAAGGACGATGGTTTTCTTAAACGCATTCACAAAACCTGAACGTCTGCAGTCACTCAAGTCATTTATTACATTTTCTATCTTTAACTATTTTAAAATAGAATGAGAAATAATTCATTAATTTTAAAAAAATGGTGACGTACAACAATAATCCAGCAGATAATCTTGAATATAAGGCTGAAAAAAAGACAACTGTCAAAGACTTGAACTGCAACCACAATGGATTAAAGAAACGTAAAGAGGAGTGGGACTAAACTCCACATGTGTAACATTGAAAGGGTCATAAACACTTACTCCAACTTATTATTGAAGGTGGTTAAAGAGCCTGAATTTATTTCACACACAGGTTAATTTGTCAGCATTAAAGCAGACTGCTGTGAGCACAGTGTGTGTGTGAAGAAAATAAAGGAGTGCGCTCTTTGGGTGTGCTGCTAATACAAAAAACAAGGCAGACCTGTTCATAGTTTAAGCTGAACAACTGGTTAAAAAAAGTCATTTCTACACCAACTCATGATTGCCTGCTGGTTTAAAGGGTTTACTTGGGATAAAAAGCAAAAACGTTTTGGTTAACAACAGATTTACAAGTGAAAAACAATTTTATCAAATCATTTCCCTCTTTTTTGTTAAACTTTGAAGTTCAGTTTTTAGAAATTATTTAAAACAACTATATGCAATTCTCAACCTGATTTAAAGCATTTTAATTTCCTTTTTAAAACCAGCTATTTGTAACTATAATCCTTAATAAGGAAGGAGAATTAAAGTATAAAACTATTTTTTATTCTACAAAATTCTAGTTAAGTAATTAATTTAAGTCTTGAATWACACATTTACAAAAGTAATAGGGATTAAAATTGAAAACTCTTCTTTTATAAATACTTACAGTATTGTAAAGAATCCTTGAAGGGCTTTTATTTTGAAAAAGTGTTAATATTCATTACAAATATACAGCTCCAGCTGAACGGTCACCATTTGTTTTAAGTCCTTATTTTAAAAGGAATTATTATTATTATTTCTGGTGAACAGTTGTGATTTCAGTGGTTTTACTTTACAGGTGAGGTCAGGCCGTTTTATGATGATCTTTGCAGTTGACCAGTTTTATCAGCTGATGACATTACAATCCGCCATTTTTTAATAATACATGTATCAAATTTCAGGTTTTACTATTTGTTTAAATATGATACATGAGTAGTTGCACATGAGACACATCTCTGATTGAAGACACTGATTATTTCCTTACATAATGCAGGAAAAGTCACTGTAAGTTAAGAAGTAATGACAGTTGTTTGTGCAGAAGTGTTTTCCACATTGTTATTGTCTGCTGCAAAGTTCTCTCACGGTCTCAAAAGTTTTATCCATATGAATGTGGCRCATGAGCTCTGGAAAGAAAAGAATTGTTTAGAAAAAGTTGTGAGCTTTGTTTGCGCTCGAAGCATGTGTTGATGACTCTCAGCTACTAATATATTACTGCTCAAAAAAAAAATAAAGGGAACACTTAACGCACGCTAACTCCCGATCTTAATCAATGAAATATTCGCATTGAGTACTTTGTTCTGTACCGAGTTGAATGTGCTTCACAAAAGTTTGATTTACTTGGACTTAGCGTGCGTTGTTTAAGTGTTCCCTTTATTTTTTTGAGCAGTGTATATTCTAACTCCCACTTTCTGACTGGGATGACCCATTTGAGGAGGCGATCCAATTAAAATTTATGACCAGGAACTCCAAAATTACCATTTCCCAGCACTACTAACCATTTTTGTGTTGTCTAAATGTTGATTAGCAGTGGTGGACATCTTGAATAAGTCTACAGCAGGGGTGCCCAAACGTTTTCCCCGAGGG